AATAGTAGAGATGAAAAGAATAGTAGAGATGAAAAGAATAGAGATGAAAAGAAGAGAGTGAGATGAGAAGAATATGTAAGAATTCGACCTTAAAACTCAGACAGAATAAACGAATGGAGAAATAAAGAGAAGGGAAGTAAGTGAGAGAGAGAGAGAGAGAGAGGGAGGGAGAAAAAAAGAAGAAAATGAATGAGAAAGGATTGATTTTTGATTGGCACTATTTCAATTCGTTTCATTTTTGTATGCTAATTAATTAACTTATATAATCAGACACAAAAGAAAAAAGAAGAAAAATCTTATCAAATTTGTTTACTGGATCATTATCATTATCATCATTCATCATCAGTCTCATAATTATTAATGTCAATGTTATCATCAAAATCATCATTATTATTCACTGCAATTAATTGTCATTACCGTTCATTAAATTTGAATATGTTTCGTTTTGCTGAGAAACAATAAAATGATAGTCACAACAACAATATAATTATCAATACCAACGAAAAATAATAAAATGAAAAAAAAAAAAAGGAAAGGAAATGATACGAAATAATCGATAAAAATGCTTACACAATATCAAATATCAGCGTTATTTAAGACGACTACTTAATCAATGAAATGAGATAGCAATATTTAACTATCATCGTTATCGTCAAATCAATATTTCGTTGATATAGAACGATTAACAGTAGGAGGACCATATAATTATCATCGTCCTTAACGACAACACCATCAGCAATAATATTACAACAACGATAACAACGGTAACAACAATAACAACAATAACAACAACAACAACAACAACAACAACAACTATTATCATGAAAATTAAGGTGAGAATGATGAGCATTTCATTGAATCAGCGGTAATCTTTACTTGCAGCAAACAGCAGCTGTCTTCGTCGTTGTCTATCAAATGCAAGCAATGTTAACCTGACCATCTTCCTGCTAGGAAGCTTTTTAATTTTTAATCGAAGTTTAAACTTTAAACTTCAATGTTATTATTTGTGGTGAAAAAAAAAAATTGTAGTAGGAAATATTGGAAAAATTTCATCTCATCAATTTGCTAAAAATTATTTTATTCATTCAAATCATCAATGCTATTTGAATTGTTTATTGTTTGGTAAACAATTGAAATTTCACGAAACGAATTCATCATTATTATTGTATTTAATAAATCTGGGAATGCTATCATCATCAATTCTCGATGTTTGATAGCATTTTGTATAAAATTCTGGCATATTATTAAAAAATTATTGGCAATTGTTAATTGTCAATTTATAGCATTTTATTTGCATCTCTGCAAATTTTCATATAAATATATATATATATCATTACGTATTATTCGCAAATTTGATCATATTTTAACGATAATATACATTTAAATGTTCATTGTTTAATTCTTCTCAATACACATTCGTTCATTTTTGAAGCGTTATCGTCGAAACTTTCTTCTCACAAATTTCGATTCCATCATCCAATTTATCATCATCCAATCAATGCTTCTTTCAATGTCAGTATTGTAGCAATTCAATTCTTGTAACTCGACTACTATCACTACTATTGCTATCATTTCTACTGCTACTGTTACTACTACTACTACTACTACTACTACCACTACTACTGCTACTGCTACTATCACCGTTATCACTACAACTACTAATACTCACAGAAGTTGTTGATAGTACTGCTGTCCTTATTGTATCCGCTTTCACTTCTACCGTTGCTGCAACTATTAACCCATTCATACAGTCACCATCTAACAAGTAATTAAATCATCATCATCATCATCATCATCATCATCATCAAATAGCAAAAATGTCGATGCTATATAAATTGGATAGTACAGTACAGGAAGACGAAGATGATAATAATGTAACATTTCGTCTATATGGTACAAATGCAATGGTAAAAGAAGCATTAACAAATACAGATACAAATGATAATACAACAACTGTTATAGTTGGGTATAAATCACCAGATAGTACTGATATTGATAAGAATACCACTAAAATTATTAGTATTAATGATGAAACATCACCAACATCATCATCATCGGTTAACTGTAATGATCATAATTATGAAGTTAATTTCGATACAACCGTTTCAGCATCTGTTGTATTGTCCAAGAAACGTACCATATCCAGTAGTAAAGTTACCGATGGTGATCACGTACAAACTAGTTATTGTAAGTTACTTTTTTTTTTTTTTTTTTTNGAAAAAAAGTGATTTTTCTCTTACTTTACTTTTTTCCATTTTTTTTATTAATATATGTATATGTGTGCTTTTCAAACTCTTTTTTTTTCAAGTTTTAAAAGTATTGTAACAGTGCATTTTTTGTTTCGTTTAATTTTTTGGATATTGCTTTTTTAAATTTTTGGGATATTAAATAACTCACAAATCATTTATTTGTTTATAGCTTCCATAAATCTTGTTTATATTTATATTTATAGAATGTGAACATAGAATGAGGAATTTGCAACTTAATTTTATATCCTAACTTGTTAGATTAAAGCACTCATGTTTTTCTTTTTGTTTTCAAATGTTTTAATTTTTAATTAATTTTACGTTCATTTGGACTTTGTTCATAAGATTTATATCAGAAAGATAAATATTAACAAATTTTGAAAATTTGGATTTTTAAGAAATTGACGTTGATTTTGATTTGCACAAGGTGAAGTTTGAATCTTGATTTCATATCATGCACTGTTATTATTTATAAATTATCGCATAATCTTCGTAGTGAAATTTTATTTTATCAGTTTTGTTATCTATTAATTTTAAATGCTTGCATCAATGATTAGTTCTCAAAAAAAAGTCTTAGGTTATTGTAAGTTTAGGGTATTTTGCACTGTACATTTTTTTTTTTTTTAAATAAAGGAACAGTTTACTAATGCATTAATATTTAAGACAATTTGATAGCAATGCTATGAAACAAAGTAAATTATCATATTTTACTACCAAAATTTATTCATAAAAATAAATTTTGGCAATAAAAAACAAGCAACTTTTTTTTTTCTCATTATATTTTTTTCAATTACTCATTATATTTACTATTTAAAGAAAAACTATATTTCATAAAAGTAAATCTTTTCTTCTCCTTTATTTCTAAAATTACTGCAGTGATCTCTTTAAAAGATTCTAGAAGGAAAGTATATTTCAAAATCCAAGGAAAGAAAGTATATTTCAAAATCCAATTTTTTTTAATAATTAGCAGTTGAAAGAAGCTCCTAAAATTTTTTTACGTTTCCTCATTTCATCAAACTGTCATATCATTGATTACACCTTTCTTTTTTCTTTTTTTTTTGACTTTTGATTTTAACTAACTTATGCAGTCCTAACAATTTGGTAAAATTGCTTTCAAATGAATAGCATCCAATCCATTTTAATCTATCCAACCATCAATATGAAAAAACCTTTTTGTTCATATTTTCTTTCTTTTGTTTTTTTTTCTCTCTCTCTTCCTGTCTCGCAACTTTTGAAATATTTTTTATCTATTTCAATAAAGTAATCTCTTATTTCTCTAATAACCTTCTTATCTTTTCTTGTCATGTAAAAAAGTTAATTTTTGAAATAAAAAAAAAAAGAATAAAAGAAAAGAAGCCAAAACGTAATGACTGAATTATAGCTGCTGTTGTTCACTTCACGAAGTTTAAAAATGTAAGAAAAATGAGAATGTGAAAGGTTTCTCGTTATTTCATGAAGTTTTTTTTTTTTTAAATTTATTTTTTTTTTCTTTTTTTAACAAAAAATTTGTCTATTGAAATTAGCAGTTACTTCAATATAATTAGATGAGATTAAAATGTTCAACATTTATTTGTTTATTTTATTGATGACAATGTTAGTTGATTAGTAATGCGAGAAGTGTAATATCAATTTTATGTAATTTCAACTGAGTAATCAATAGATGATAATTAATGTTATCTTTTTTACTGTTTAAATTATATTTCTGCTTGTTTACATCGTCTTATAGCATTCTTGTTCATTGATC